CTAAACGACAACGGAAATTCACTAAGAGAATGAAAACGGCAAAAGTTAGAAAAAAAACTGAATCAAATCGTTGCTGATGGAGTGTACCAGCCTGATGCAAATGAGATTACAACTGCTCAAATTACCTTTGATATCGATTTGTATTCGTCCAACCATGCTATTCAGCTCCAACTCGACAGTTGCTATGGACTGGTTGAAGTGTTTCGCGAGCGATTTGTTGAGGATCGTTGATGAGCCGAATGGATTTGAGACTTTCGTCGATGTGAGGTCGTTCACGGATTCAGCTAGAACATTACGACAGGTGACAGATGAAAAATTGAATGAACAGTTAAAGGGGACTCAAACAAAGAGCGCAGCCGCAAAACGGCTATACTCAAAACATCATAAGGATCGATAAATCAGCTCCGGTAATAGCACTGATCATCATCACCACAATATGCAAGGTGACATCGTTATAGGAGCAAAAGATCATCAGCATGCATCACTCTCAAGGACAAATCTCAAATTATATGCCGAACAGATGTCTAAGTTTAGCATGATTCAAACCAACTAACTGTCATCATTGGAATCTCCTCACTTAACTGGTGAGATTTTCTGTCAGCTTACTCAAAGACACAGCAGAGATAATTCATTTCATTAAAAAAGCTTTTTTTTTTGTTTCAGCCACTTACGTATTGTGAATGATGTGGAAAATCCTGGCTGCTCGAAAATCCTGAGGATTTTGTCAATCCATTTCATAATGAATGGTGAAAAGGATCACTTCATCAAACAACACATATAACGATTATAGCATTTTATGGAATTTTTTGATGTAATGAGCAGTACTGATGTGCAAAATATGATGAGATGACTGTCACAATACTTCAATCAAAGGTACAATTTGATGAACAATAGCAATAAAACAACACAATCGAAATATGCCTATGTAAGTTCAAATTATGAAATTCAATCATCACTTCATACTACGGCTGTGTCAACAGTTGGAATGCAATTAGAGTTTGAATTTTAAATTTTTAAGCAGTCCAATTTACAAAAACATGTGTATGATTATCAGCGTCAACTGATAGCATTAAACTAGATACACGCATGGAATACGATTATCCACAGCATGTATCATTGAAACCAAGAAAAGGAATAACTAGTGAAGGTGATACAGAAGAAAGGAAGCAATCTCGTTTAACGAACGAACACATGGATAAACGTAAGATAGAAGAGCGCAAAGGAGCACGAATACTTTCTAGGCATTTTCGTCTGAGATTGTCTTCATAAGGGTGTGTTTTT